CAGGCGCCAGGCCCCGCCAAGTAGCCACCGGGAGTGAGCTGGCACATGACCTGAGCGCCCAGCCCCGGACACCAAGAACCAACAATGCACCGACCCCTGTCATACTAGTCATACTATTTTTAAAGCAGGGGGCACTTTCATTGGCTGGCATATAAAGTGGTTTATTTTTTGCAAATCGCTGTAAATCGTCAGGTCACTTTTATTCAATTCAATTCCATTTCACTGCTAGTTTTATTTATATAGCATCAAATCACAGCATTTAACTGCCTATGAACAAGCACTTGGCGACAGGGGGAAAGAAAAAGTCCAGTTTTTCACAGGAAGAAACCTCTGACAGAAGTTTTCTCTGGGAAGACCAGCCATCTGCCGCAACCTGTTGGGGGTGGGAGGTCTTATCATTTACTAATTTGGGCATGACTGGTATGTAGAAACACGGTGCGTTCGAGATATGTTGGACTCATGTTCCTGAAAACATGAGTTTGCCGTTAAAAGAATTCACGCGGCAACAACAGTGAGAAAGAAATGGAATTTTGCAAAACAAACAAAAAAAGGGAGCTATGATGTCGTTTATGTGGGGTGTCCATACCTTGGTTTATGGTGGGATTAGTCACCCATCTGGCCACCTTTTGCGTTTGCCCCTGGTAAACAGTGTTTCATATTTTTGTTGTCATCTATATCTGGGCATGTGCTTTAAGGATACAATTAATTCAATTTCTAATGTGTTTTATTAGGGTTTGGGCCTTGTCATCACCGGCACAATGCCGGTCTTCAACCTCACTGCTGATACTGCAAGCTCTCAGGTAAAAGCAACACTGCAACATAGGATGTGACCCTAAAATAGCTGTGCTTTTGCACTTTATCATTATTATTTAGTAAATATAATGTTTTTGGGTTGGTTTTTTTTACATCTATCCAAGCAGGTAGGGCTGTAAAGTTACTAAAAACAGACACAAGTTGGAGGAGCAGAAGGATTTGAGGTTTTATTTCTTGCTGTTGACCATCATCAATCATTTGTAACAGTGTCCGCCCAGCTGCTCTTCTATGCAACACCTCCCCCCTGAGGTGACGACAGACATCACAGCAACTCATCTGTACTATCTACTAACATCCATAGATGCATCCAGCTTTCAGTATCCATGACCAAAGTATTTACTCTGAGCTTATCACAAAGGCTTAAAGCAGCAAACCGACTCAGTTTAAGATAGACTGTGAAAATATGTGCTAATCAGATTGCGCACAAAGTGATAAGTCAGAGATGGCATAGAGATGTTCTTAGCACGCTCACGGCACAGCTACCAGCCCCGTGTGATTCTCTGATACTAGCAGGGGCTGTGGATAAAATGCTTATAATTGCTTTATGTCTTCTGCATACAGAACCAGCTCATCCTTGGAGTCATGGGAGTAGACATTGCAATTAACGAAATCAAAAAGAAGACACCTACATACAGAGTGAGCATGTCGCTGAAGATGTCTCTTGTGTTACTTTCAGATATGTGTGGTTTTTGAATAATTTCACCATTCCTTTTTGTGCTGTGCAGCTTGGAGCTAATGGCTACACCTTTGCCATCGATCCAAATGGTTATGTACTGCTGCATCCCAACCTTCGGCCTAAGGTAGACCCAGTTATTAACACTTCTGTGCATCTAAAGAGTTGTCAATGTAAAATTTTGGACATTATTCCTGCTGACTGACGTTCACCCTCTTCCTCCATCTTCCACTGCTTTCTCTCTCTGTGCAGATCATTAACTTCAGGGAGCCCGTCACTCTGGATTTTTTGGATGCAGAACTGCAAGACAGCAACAAAGAGGAGGTGCAGAACTATTCCCGTGCAATATCATGACTGTCACCACCTGTGTTTCATGCAATTTGTGTTACATTTAACCTTTTAACTGTCACTTGTTTTCAACCATTTTTGTCTTTCATTATGAACACTCAGGCCACAGCCTCTTTGTTTCGCTTGCCTTTCAGATCCGCCGACAGATGATTGATGGCAAATCAGGGCAAAGGAAAATCAAGACGCTCATTAAATCAGTTGATGAGGCAAGTCATCAATATATGAAACTCAATCATGATCCAAAGTAGCACCTTACTGAATGGTGTTGTAATGAGTTTGAAGCGCTCTGTATGTTTAGTGTCTGTTGTTACTCTCCGATTATGGGAGGAGGTGTGAAGGTTACCTATCGCTGTCTTTTTGTGGTTGCCAACAGAGGTACATTGACGAGGCCGTGCGGACGTACACGTGGACCCCTGTGGAGGGTACAGATTACAGGTAGGTTGGAAATGCAAACATGCATCACCTGACCGTCAGAGAAAAAGATGGCGCAACTTGAACCTGTGAGTGAAGTCCAGATTTTACACTTTAAATTGTTGAGTGTTGAGTCACAAGTCTCAGATATCTGCTTGACAGCTTCTGCCTATGAATGTTTGTGAACAGTAGCTTCCCTGAATTAATGGCGGCTCGGTAATGAATTTGACTAAAAATTAAAAAGCCACTTCTTTGTCTATATTTGCTAACATTTCTGAGGAGTAGCGTAAATTAACTGCTTAGTTTACTCATCTCAAAACTCGGTTGAACATTTGAAGTTGTATCATAATGACATTTCCTCTAGGCAACACTCTGCAAATTACAGTTTATGACATTCGGTAGTCCTACAAATGCCTGATTTGTGTTTTTTATTACGTCTGTTGGCTGCGTGCCTAGTCCTGGCAGAGTGCATATGAGGCTTTCGCTGCACAGTCCTATTAATATCCAACTCAAATGGATATTCCAGTGTATTTAAGAATCTGTGTGAAACTCAAATAACCCGACATCCGAAGCTCTGCACAGTAGTGTATCCTACATTGTGCAGTTCAAGGCTCATAGAATTTTTTTTCTGTTTGAGTTTTAATCTCTTCCTATTATATCTGTGAAGACTTCTATTTTAGGCTTGCGTGGCAACAAAGATCAAGAAATGGGACATCTCTGTCCCGTTTAAATTCTGCTTTCGGCGATGACTGTTTGTGCAATTTATGACCTATTATGTCTTAATGGTGATGTATTGCAGGGTAAAAGTGACGTACTTTCACAGTGGCCTCATTAGTATTGGATAAAAATCAGGCTCTCTGAGGTGTTTTCTATTTTTTCCATCTTTATTGTTTAGGATCACTCTTACTGCGTTTACCTGCGTCATTTGTAGCTTCAGATGGCAGCTGTTTCCCGGAGAAAAAGCTTTGATGAACTGATTGTACACAAACTGCTCAGAGCCACTCAGCAGACAAATCCTTCCTGTATTTCTTGTTTCATTAGCATTTCATACAATGCAGGGGTACTTGGCGGTATGATTATTATTAGTTTAATTGTTCTTTATTTATTGTTTTTCTTTTTTATGTCTTGGATTTTATTGTCTTATTTGATTATGTGAGATTTTATATTATAATGTAATTATTATTTATGTGGAGCCCAGGAAGGACTGTTCCATCTTTTTTATAGATTAAGGGGAATTCAAATAAACTATAAACAAAGAAAGCAAGTGGCTGGTGAATATAGTGGATCTTCATCAGCTAAACTAGTGAAACTAAAGAAGGTTGGCCACAGTTTTAATGGTAATTGTTATCATTGCCAACAGTCTATAGTGTCAAAACTCCCATTAGCTGCCTCACTTTGACTCAAGAAGAAATACAGCAAATTAACAGTTTCCAGCCAATACGTGAATTTGATTATGATGCCGGTTTCCAACTCTATATTTTTAATCATAGACTACACCAAAGTAGCTTTGGATGATTCAAAGTTCCAAATAATCCTTATTTACCTTTAACAGTCCCATCCACTGTCTGAAACAAGTCATTTGAGCTCTTTCCGCTCCTTTCTTTCGATTGGCTACCCCTCTCTAACAGAAGGGTTGAACACAGCAGATGGCGCTGTTTTACTGAAACCTAGAGTTGTGTATTTGAGTCTGTTTGAGCATTAGAGCCTCATCAATTTATTGGCAGGCCGATATTATCATCAATATTAGCTATAAATGCTGATCGTTAAATTGCTAGATGCAGGTAAAAGATGTTAGGATTTTTTTATTTTTTAAAATTTTGTGTGTCTTAAAAGATAAATGTCGGCCAATGTATCAGAATATTGGAACTTTAAATCACCAAATACCTGTATCAGCCTTAAAAACTCCTATATCAGTATTTCTTGCATATGCATAGACTTGATTTTTTTGAGAACAGAAAATAAGGAAAAGCAAACTAGGCATGCAGTAAAGCACATATGTATTTTGTGTATTTGTGGCTTTTAACATAATCTTGGATTAAATGTTCCTGTTTTTTTGAATCTTTTCACCTCAGTCTAGGGTTGGTACTGCCTACATATAGTGAGAACCACATCAAGGCCAATCTAAGTGACCAGATCCTCCAGGTGCAGTGTAAGTACTCTTGGGTATACCCAACATCCTTCACTCTCTGTCTCTACTACTCTCTTGCCTCTCTGCTCTCCGCCCAATATGACCTTTACGCTCTGGTTCAGTCCTCTGTCCCGGGTCTTCAACATCATCATAGAGCGTGTCCGAGCGGAGGCACCTGCCCAGTCCCCCCCCTCCCCCTCTCCTTCACTCCTTGTCTTCGCTCTATCTATGCTCTCTGATAGGCAGGATCATTCCTGAGTCCCCCCGACTCCTCTTCTGCCCCCGTTCCCTCCTGTCTTCATGCTGTGCTGTAAAAACGGTGATGTTTTTTCTTCACACTGGCTGAAGAAAAAAAACAACTGAACTAACAGAAAGGTGAAAGCTGTGGTCTTACTGTGTTACTCAGGTGAAAATAATGGTGACCTTTGTGCTATTATTTTTTTTGCCAAATGCTCTCGCCTCTTCTTCCACCAAGTAATGATTCTGAAGCATCTGTGTTCAAAGTATTTGATGTTATGGATAACTGTGAAAACATGCATGCTTTTCACTCCTTATGATGATTTTTTAAAATAATTTTGGGAACTTTTCCTTGTGTTATGTGTGTTATTTTTGATTTGATTTAATTTTTTTGTTAAACTGTGTGAGATGTTTCTCGGCTTTGGAATCATTCGACTGATAAACTCCCACATGGCCTGGGATACTGGCTTGTCAACTGTGGGAGTTTGGGTTTTTTGTGGGTCTGAATGGGGACACGTGTTGTCTCTCTCATTCTTTCTTTGTCCAGACCCCATTACTTCCCTCTTTTCCTGGTGCATTTGATTTTTTTCCCCATGGTTATCTCTCATAATTACTGGTTTGTCTTTGCTGTTTTTTTCTTTTCCTAGATTGTCATGTTTTGTTTTGTTTTTCCTTTCTTCCGTTGGTTTCCGTTTCCTCGTTTGCTCTTGCAAATAAGATGTTTGCTCTTCATTTCTTTTTTCTCTCTTGTCTTGTTTGACTTTAATTGGTTTCTTTTTTTTCAAGAAAACAATATTTTTATTCAAACAGTAATTGAATAAAATATTGTCTGTGATCCTCCCTTCCCACCCGATCCCCTGTTTCTTTTCTTGCTCACTCCTTCTCTGATGGATCCACACAGTGTCATACACCAAGGGCAAGTATACTCCATATTGGTCCACGTTCCCTACCTCTACTTCCTACTCCCTACCGCTTCCTCCCCTTTCCTACACCTCTCATCCTAAACCTTCTCCCGCTGACCCCCTCCCTCCCTTCCCTCACCCATCCTAGCCTGCTTGCCTCTGTTCCTGCCCGTCTTGCCTTCAGGATTTCCTCCCCTTTCCCTCTTTTTTTCTCCTCCACTTTCTCCTCTAATCCCTCCTTCCTCCTCCTCCTTCTCACTCTCTTGCTGCAGCTCAGATCCCACATCTCTCACAGTGGCTCCTCCAGTCCCCAACCTCGACCACCTTCTCTCATATCCACTGCTCCAGAATCAGAAATAAATAAATAATTAAACAAACAGCTGTACCCAAGGAAGACAGATATTCATGTTTTCTGTTAAAACTTGTCTTTTGCTCCCTGCACCTCAGTCCTTTTCCTTTTGTAGATAGCTCCAAACACGTTGTCTACCTTCTTTCCTCTGCCTCTCTCTTCCACTTCATTTGCTTTGACTACATTTCTCTCTTTCCCTCATTTTTCTCTTCCTCACCTTCTCCATTTCTCTTTGGCTCTCTTCTTCTTCTCTTTCCGTATTTTTCTTACAGTGTAGTTTATAAACGTCTTAACTAAGTCTAACACTAAGACTCAGGTATTGATAGATATTTAATTAATTAAATAAATATGTATACATTTTGTGGAATATCTATTGTTATTTGGGCACATCGAGCCCTACTAAAAGATCTGTAATTATTCAATGCAAGTCTGTGCAAGTTACTAGCTATAATAATATATCAGCTATTGATAGTGATGGCATTTATATAGTATAATAGGGATATGTTGAAGTCATGATTTTTTTAAAGGCATCTATATATAAATACACTGTTTGTTAGCTGCAGCAGTATCTCATGGCTGGGAGCATTGCAGCTTGCAGACTGCAGACCTACAGTCTGAGCTGTGTCCTGCCCTCTCAGGTCCTCCCATATTGTCAGGTGTCAGGGTGCCAGTCGGCATGGCACCTCACTTCTATGTCGTCCCTCTGTACCCCCTATCTCCATCAGCTTGTCTCCCTCCCTCCTCACCCCTCAGACTGCCAGGTGCACGGCCCAACGCTTCCTCAATAAACCTGACCCCGGATGTGCATGGCATTGTGGGCGGAAAACTACCTGGGCACTCTATTTTAGCTCTTCAAATGAATATTTAATTCCTCTTCTGGACGCAGTTGCAGGTCACGACTTAATGAGAAAATGACATGTCGGATTCATCGCAGACTCACCTGCTGGTTGATATTTGTGTTCTGTTTTGTCTGTGATAGATTCACTGAAGTTGCCCTTTTGACATGCCCTTCACAATGCAATGCATTTCCTCTGATTATGTGTCTCTCCGAGTCCTCTCTCCTGCCAGTCTGAGGGGTGACCACTTCCATCAGGACCTTCACCCACCTCCCCCTGCAATAGTTGGCCATGTTGATGCCTGCCTGATCTAAAAGCACTCACCGCGGATAACCTGTCTGAGAACTCACTTCCTGACAAATCAAGTCAGTTCTCCGACATCCCAAATATGTTAGATTGAAACCCGACACAATCAGAAAATGTTTGCCGGCAAAATAACAAACCAGAAACCAAAAGTGTGAGTGCTTCTGAAAGTAAAACGGTCTTCCATTGAGTCAGGTTCCTTTTTAGGCACCATATTGGCTAACGCTAGTGTTCCCATGATACCTCAGTGTTGCTATGGTAAACTCCCTTCTGCGTCCCCGCACCTCTGAAGAACAGCTGCTGTTTATCCACAACTCCCCACTGCTCTGCCCACTGCTCTTCCTGGATAATCTTCCCCTTTCTGTTGCAGATTTTGAGTCACTGCTGCCAAACACTTTTGAGTCTGAAGGACATGTATTCATTGCTCCCAGGTAGCCTTGTCTGTGATTGCTGCCTGTCGTTAATGGTCATCGGTTTTCGGTGCCGTCTTTGCATCCTGTTTTCTTTCCACCTCGTATTTCAAATTTTCTTGTATGGTTTGATTTTACATTTTGAGTGGTGTGTTTACTCATAGTTAAACGTTCATTTGACAAAAATTATATTTATGAGGAATAAAATTCATCTGGTTTTGATTTTTTTTCCCATATTATTCATAAATTGTATTCCCCAAGTTGCACTCATTACACGAGACCACTGAAGACACATCAACCCTTCTTGCCTGCTGCTACGGTCGTGCTGCATGTTTTACACAAATTAAGCATTATTAATGCATTTGCACAATGTATTGTAAGGATTACTGAAGCTATTGGGCAAAAAATATCATCTGCATGTGCATACAGCCTATAATATGCTCGGTATTGCAGTACAAGTCCACCTTTTGTTTTGACTGACACCACTATAGCACATTAAAGCTTTGCCATGTGCATGCGGCACACAATGGCATCAAGTAATGTGTGTATGGGTTCGTGCATCTTCCATCTCCATTGTGTGTCCATCTATGAGGAGCAAGTGAGGCAGAATAAGAGTAACGAGCTCTATTTTTGCCTTCTCTTTGAATTAAAACACTGCGTCTCCTCCTCAGGGAGTACTGCAATGATCTGGAACTGTCCAACAACAACACTGAGTTCCTGCTCAACTTCATTGCTCTAATGGAGAAGGTGACACCAGACTCCAAACAATGTGAGTTTCATTTTCTTTTCACCCACACAGTAAAGTCACAGTTTGTTCTACATTAAATAATTCACCATGAGCTTGTCTAGTGATATTCTGTAAACATATCCCATAAAAAGGCAAAATAAACAGCAGTGATCCAACTAATAGGTATTTTCTTCGTAGCCAGAATGTGATGTAACCTATTGCCTGTTGCCTAGATACAGTTAAAAAGCATCAGCAAGCCTCACTTCTGCACCTGATGACATGTTTCTTTCTTGTGACGAGCACAGTTTATTTCGAGATAATCCCACATGCATTATCCTGCTGTCGCAAATCCTCCAATAATGAAAATGTGTATTAATTCACAGCTGTAAATAGTACGTAACAAATGCAATATTAAGCTTTCGGTGAGAAATATTTAGTAATAACCACAGCAGCTGGGTAAAAGAAAGTTGTTAGGTTGTTTTGTTTTGTTTGCCAAGGAGGTTATGATTTTGTTTGTGTCTGTAAATACGATGGCCGGAAAAGTTTTGAATGAATTCTGATAGAAGTTTGTAGCAGTGCAGAGTGCAGTCATGTTAAAAATCCAGTATAATTCTGTTTACATCCACTAAAGTCTTCAAAGTCGACTTAATGATTTTTTGACCAAAAGCCTATTTAAAGGTGTGGTGTGCATTATCGACATATAAAAAGTACCACAATTAAAAATATATTACATTTATCTTTGACCTGGTGTTCAAGGTCAAAAAAGCCAAAGTGATAATAACAATATATAGAGCTATTTAAATATTTGTTTCTACCTGTGGTTGTTTGTATTGACAGTATATAGGTAAATGGGGAAGTATATATCACATTTCAGTTTGCATCCAAATCATCTTATGTTTGACCTGTGACGTCACTCTGACCTGCCTTTCTTTCAAATGTACCACAAAATGTGCTGCAAGTGTTTTCAGGAGAAGGACAATGAGCTGCCTAGTTGTGCCTATTATACCTACTCATACATAATGTTTGTGTAATCGAAGTAAGCGAATGTCATGCTACCCGTATCTGATTTTAACCCTTATCTGAGTGCTTCCTGTTTGTGCTAAGTATAAATGAAACGTGATTGATAAAGTCATTCTTTTTTGTAATTAAGTGTGTTTATTTAGAGCCTTTTGCTTGTGCTTTAGATATGAAGCCTTTTGAACTCATTTTGAACATCACTGGAGATTAACATTGTCACCTCGATTATCTTGTTTTCGTTATGAACTGACCATTAGGACTGGACGCTGGAATGAATGAGCCATTTACTCTGTGTGTATCTATGAGGATGATGAGATGTTACTTATATAAATGACGAAGCTCAAATGGACAAAAACGTTGTCATTTAACAAAAATATCAGCAGTAAGCGAGACAGTGTGCAGGAGTTAAATTGTATTTATAACCTTTCGCCCATCCAGGTGTGCACAGATTCTACATCAGATGTTTCTACAGCTTTGTCCCATTAAAATAGTGCAAAATTATATACATGACCTATCGTGCCTGTCTTAATTTATTATTGGTTCCATACCATGTGTGATATGGGGCAAAATAACCATGCAGTCTCAACGCATGGTTTAGTTCTGAGCATCTGTAGCAATTATTTAGTATCCCTTTTTCCTTGTTTCTTGCAGATTGCGGATTAGGGCTGTCATAATATTAGTACCTTTTATGATGAGTATTGACACTCAGTATATATCAATAAAGACGTGGTTTGACGACCGTCAGTATAGTGTCCAGGTTTTAGGCAGAGAACACCATCACTAACGTCTGATGCAAACCTAGTCTTGTTTTCGATAGGCAGGTCTGAAATATGACAGAAACCGCTCAGAGAAGAGAAGAGCTTCAAGGGTTAGTCCTAGTAGGCTTTCAAGGAGGAAAGAGTTAAAATCGGGATTTGGTCCACATGTTCCACATTGGGCATCTGATATAGACCATGTGTCGCCTCAGTGCAGCTATCAAATATGCACAAATTGTTGTTGTTTTTTCTTCTTTTCAAAAACCATAAAATACGCTTTTTCATCGGGTTTTAAATGTAGAAGAACTGCTGAACTAACGATCCAGAATACCTGACATCTGCTATTAATGCAGTGTCACCTCAAACACCATCACTGTCAATCAGACAGTTACCAGTCCTGGATTATTACCATGGTGTTAACACAATCTCTATATTTCATTTTTTGAATATAACGACTATCATCAGCTACTACATGGCAGCACCCCTAATGTGGATTAAACTCTCTAATCTCTCTTATCATGCTAGGTGACAATTTGCTCCTTCACAACCTCATTCTGGACACGGGCATCATCAGACAGTTGGTCGAGAAAGTGTGGAAGAATAAAGATTTGAACACGTGAGTGTGACCAGCCAGTATTGAGGGAAGTGCATTTTAAGATTTTTGGATATTGATTTGAAGCCCCTTTCTGTCTTTGCTTCCACCTGACATTTAGATACGGCTTCCTGGCTGTGTTTGCTGCAACAGACGGAGGTATAACAAGAGTGTTTCCAAACAAGTAAGTGCACTCTTCATCGAGGCCCGTGTGTCTGGACTCCAGCTGCTTTGTAGTTCTGATACATTTTTCTCTTTGTTCTCTTTTGAAGTGGTATGCTGTTAAGTTTCAAAAAACATGTGGGATAGGTAAAGCAGGCAGCTTATACGTGAGACAATTACAGCTCTGGTATCTCTTGTTTTAAACCTTAGGGCTGCAGAAACCTGGGAGGAAGACCCTGAGCCGTTTAATGCCACCTATTACCGCCGCAGCCTCGACAACAAGGGTTACATCTTCCGGGCGCCTTATCGAACAGGTGAATGATGCTCTTAGTCTTGAGTTATATAACTCGCCTCGTAATAGAAAAGGCTGTTTGTTTCTAACCTCGCTCTCTTGGCTCGTTTTCCCTTGTTTGTAGCCAGGGACGAGCAGCTGAACCCAGAAAATGACACCGTAGGTATTCTGGTCAGCACAGCTTTGGAGATGACAATAGGAGGGAAGACCATCAAACCTGCAGGTGGGTACTCTTCTGAAAGAGGAAACAAATTGTTGTGATATAATGATAGATGTTAAAGAAAAGCTTTGGGAGCGAGATAATTACACGTCTGAGTTTTTTATTTTGTCACTTTGTGTTGGCATGTCTCTGCTCTGCATATATCTATACCTTTTACACACCTGTCGTTTTCTTCTGTGTGCTTTGAAACTTTCTTTGTCGCTTCCTCAGTTGTCGGAGTGAAGCTAGACCTCGAAGCCTGGACGGATAAGTTTAAGATTCTTGCCAGCAACCATACAGACAGCCGACAAGGCTCAAATACGGTAAAATACATATGTTTAATATCCATCCATCCATCCATCTTCATCCGCTTTATCCG